TATTGCCAGTGGATGGACGTTGGCTGGGGTTGGACCAGACAGCCTTGGAAAAAATCTGGAGGCAGCCATAAGAGCTACCAGGAGCCATGGCAGACTGTTTAAAAGTCTTACCACGGTGTGTTGGAACTTCATCCCAGTTAGAATAAAAAACACAAAGGCCCTCCAGCCCTGACCCCTCACATCCCTTCAACATGCACACATTCCCTATGCCTCATCAATGCTTTCTCATGCCTCCCTGCCATCCCAATGCCACTTTAATGTCCCCATGCCAGGTCACAGCTCTTCCATGTCAATTCATCCACAATAAATTGCATAGAAGCAATGAATACAATAGCGACAGGAGGCCATGTTTTAAAAATTCTCAAAAAAAATGATTCAGTGGAAAATTTTCCACTATGTTTAAAAAGAACTCCTTTCTACTGTGGGGCAATAAATGTCGATCATCAAGATGCTTTAAAGTATCAATAGTTTATATTGCAGGCCTGAAACCTATTAATCTGGTGTAAATAGTTATTTTGAAATTGATAGCAGAGATCAAGAGGCAATCAAACAGGGCAGAGGTGTTTCAAGCCTCTGTACAAAACCTTCACTGAGAGCCCAGACATCCACTGCATTGCAATTTCAACCATTGGAACTTTAAAGGGTCTGGATGAGCAATGTTTATGTTGCCCTGTAGAACTTTCTTTAGCACTGTGGAATGTTTTCAATAAATTACAGTATTTTTATAAGTCCTATTACACATACTATTGTCAATGTATCCTTTCAGCATAAAATCGGTGAATGGGCATGAAATGCTAAAGCCTGGCATAGGAAACATAAGATGATATGGTGTATGCCTGGGGACAGACCATGACATTGGGGTGGGGCACCCTTTTAAAAGGATCCCTCATATAGACTATAGTTCATGATACCTCTGAACCACAATTTTTTAAAAAAGCCTTGTTAATAATGTAAGTATGCCTTTAAGAGATATGCATGATATTATCACAATATCATTGCATGTGACTGGAGGTTACAAAGGTCTCATGCTCAATATTGCCTCATGATCACTTGAAGCATGACATGCTACAAGGAGTATGCTGCTGTGTGCTTTAGTTGCTTGATATTAGCCCGCTGATTTACCTGTGAATGTAATGTTACTATATATCTAATGTTAAGAAACATCTGTTCCATTCTTCAATGACATAACATCCATGCCACATCAAGTAAAGTATTCTGAGAGGCAAAATCACATCAGATTCCATGAAATTGTAGAGGTGTAGACAATCACCCAGCAATGCAATGCACTCAGCCAAGTCATGAAGTGCTAGGTCTGGGCTCACAACATGAACCAGCCCACCCACTTAAAATGCCCTGGTGAAAATCAGAAAGCCTGGGATGAGGCTAGATTCCTGGAATGGGTCCTTCCTGCCATTTATAAAGAACTCTCAAATCATCTTGATTTAGTGAAAATCCAGGTCTGTGATGCCATCTAATGGAAAGTAACTTCATGGATGTTAAATTACAAATTAATATTCCATATTGTATATATATATTTGTAGTAATAAGCATGAAATTAAAGTTGTAATGTTCCATTAATGAGATTTACCAGAAGCTGATCATTTCATTGCCTACATCTTCCTCATTCTCACAAACATCAATGTTACAAATTCAACAATGACCAACTTGACTTAGTCTGATAGGCTCAAATCGTTTGGTCTGTATTGAGGGTGCAGATGCCAAATTAGGGGTGGTAGGGTGCCAGATGGATGATGAATACAGATGCAGGTGGCATGGAAGTAGTGAGCTATGCAGAAATTAGATTGTGTAGGGGGCAGGCAGGTTCAGTGGCATGTAAGTGGATAAGGGCTGAGAGTAGGTTGGGTGGTTCAGTTCAGTAAGTAAAGTTGATGGCTATTAGAGTGGGTCTGGTTGGTGTTTGTAAGGTTACTCTGCTGGTCAGGGATCCAGTCCACTTTGGTGGGGGGGGTTGAGTTTGGGATGCATCAGATCCGGGAGGAATATGAGCGAGGGATTTCAGTGGTTTTTGTCAGTGTTGGGGAGTCAGGTTAGTGCTAGGCATGACTCTAGAGTCTGGGGGAGATTGGGTGCCTTTGTGGGAGTCATTGAAGAGGCCTTCAAAAGACAAAACTGCCAGTTACAGAAGTACACAGTGGCAGAGATGCCATGACAGAGAGTACCACTGTTAACTGTGCAGTTAAACCACACGGGGAAAGTCAACATAGGAAATGAAGGTAATCAACTAGAATGGGAGCAGTTGTTGACGCAGTCCATGATGGAGCAGCTCGTGAGGGGGTTTCAAGATGGGGGTGTAGAATTGTAATCCCTTGTGAAGTTTGGTGAGATTTAATAACTCAAGTGGCATTTTTCTTCTGTTCATTTGTGCGTTGTGGGCGTCACTGCCTGGCCAGCATTTCTTGCCCATCCCTAGTTGCCCTTTAGAAGGTGGTGGTGAGCTGCCTTCATGAACCGCTGCAGTCCTCCTGCTGAGGGTTGACCCACAATGCTATTAAGGAGGGAATTCCAGGATTTTGAGCCAGCAACAGTGGGGTAAGTTACTAAGAAATCTGTGGGTTCTCTCATGATCACATTTACTACTTGTAAATGACTACAGCATGTTCAATCACAGTCTATTACCTTATTTGCCATATCTAGTGTTAGAAATAACTCATACATATATTATAGTTGGTACTTCTATCTGAACATTGCAAAGTGCCATTTGTTCAAAATCAGGGAATCTTGACGCTTTATTCTCAACTCTGTGGTTCTGTCCTTGTGTGCTTCAATCCTCTTTGCTTTGCCATTAGCACCCCCATATCTTCAACAGTCCTCTAGAATTCCTTATAGTTATGGATCAATGTGTTCCTTCTTGATTCTTTTGCAGTAATTGTTTTTAATTGTGGAATGTTTTTATTCAATTCTCACGCTCTCTTTCTTTAGAATAATTGTTGTTCATAAGCTCAAAAGTATTAACTTGTTATAACCATTAGTTATAGGAGCAGAATTAGGCCATCAGCCCAGCAAGTCTGTTCTGCCATTCATTCATGGCTGATGTATTTCTCTATCTTTGCCTTCTCCCCGTAACCCTTATCCACTTACTAATCAAGAACCTATCTATCTCTGTCTTAAAGACACTCAATGACTTGGCCTCCACAGCCTTCTGCGGCAATGAGTTCCATAGATGCACCAACCTATCACTAAAGAAATTCTTCCTCATCTCAGTTATAAAGGCCATCCCTTCACTTGAAGCTGTCCCTTCGGGTCACAGTCTATTCTACTTCTGGAAACATCTTCACATTCACTCTCTCTAGTCCTCTCAGTATTCTCAAAGTTTCAATGAGATCCACCACCTCCCCCCCTCCCCCACCACCACCCCCCTCAGCCTCCTAAACTCCATTGAGTAAAGTCTCAGATTCTTCAACCGTTCCTTATGACTAGCCCTTCCCAGGATCATGCTTGCGAACCTCCTCTGGACCCCCTCCACAGACTTTGATACAGGGCCAAAAACTGCTCACAATATTCCAAATGCAGTCTGACCAAAGTATTAAGCAGCTCAGCAGCACATCACCGCTCTTACATTCTAGTCCTTTTAAAATGAATGCTAACATTGCATTTGTCTTCCTAACTGCTAACTGAACTGTTAACTTTAACAGAAACCTGAACTGGGACTACTAAATCCCAATCTGCATCAGATTTACAAAGCCCTTTCCCTTTAGAAAATATTTCACACCTCTATTCTGCCTAACAAATGCATAACCTCACACTTTCCCACATTGTATTCAGTCTGCCACTTCTTTGCCCATTCTCCTAGCCTGTCCAAGTCCTCTGCAGTCTCCCCACTTCAACACTACCTCTACTTCCACCTGACTTTGTGTCATCTGCAAATTTAGCAATAATGCCATCAGCTCCTTTCTCCAGATCATTAATGTATATGTGAATACCTGTGGTTCCAGCACTGACCTTTTGAACTCCACTACTCACTGGCTGTTAGCCTGAAAAACACCCCTTTATCCTCATCATCCCCACATAGTGCAGTTGCTGTGGATCAGAAAGTAGCATACGATAAACAGTGCAAATTTCTGTCTAGACTAAAATTAAAATTAAGGCCCTGTTCTATGTAAACCACAACAGTAAAATACAGCAAGCGCTAGGAAGCTGCAATTATAAAGTGAGAACTTGAGATCAACATTTTTAACAAAGTTGTGGCAGAAGCGACATGATCTGTACTTTTAAACAGAGCAGACAGTAAAGGGACAAGTGAAATCTGGGGACTGACCACTCACAGCACAAAGCTATTCTTGCTGTTGTTTCAGTATCAGTGGGTTGCAGGGTTATTAGTTACAGGTAAGATATCAGGTTGCTTAACCCAGCAGTTATGTACAGATTAAAGAATCACTACCAATTATAGTTTGGATATTGGGCTGTTGCACTAGCACTGATCAGTGAGTTACTTTTAGTGTTGGTGATGAGGGAAATTTACATTTTAACAATACTATTACTTACTGACGCACTTTATTAGTTACTATTAGTTATTGGTGGAATTAAAGCTCTTTCCACCTTGTGAATTGTTCACTCACCTATGCTCTGCTGGTTCATCAAACATTCCATAAAATAGCTGATCTCAAACACAGATACCCAACTTCAAAGGTACACAGTCACATTTGTAGTTATTACAGTCAGACCATCATGTAATCAAGCATCCAAGAATGTTTCCAACAAAGTTAACAGCCTGATTTTCCAGTCACAATAACACAAATTGAATTATCCACTGGAACGATTTCAATGTTGTTTAACTATCAGGCTTGGATTTGATACTTTTGGTTGGAATTGTTACTCTTAACTAGAGGTAGATATGTGCAGCCTGAGCATATATAGTTGTGAAAGATTTCATCTGTTACCCACCTCAACTACTGTTGCCGAATAGGAGCTCATGTAATCTTTTTCCAACCTTTTAGCCCAAGAGTTTCAAAATGATATTGTTTATAAAACGGGATGCAGTATTTAAAAGATAAAAACGTCTTTATTAATGATATACATTTTACATCACTACACTCCAGAATATAACGACATTTTTTTCCTCGACGTAGTTAGAGTTTGACATGAAAGACACTCAATATCTCTTCCACAGTCATCCCCCAATGTAATTAACAGTAAAGTGTTAAACATAATGCATTTAGCCAAAGTAACTGCAGGCGTAGATGTTAGATTCAACTAAAAATGATTGCTAAATTATTGATTTGAAAACATCAGCAGCTTTGGGATCAAACTAGTTCGACATTAGTCATCTTCACCGTCTTTACCAGGTTTCACTCGAATATTCATTCGGTTTCTCTTTCTTCCACTATAAAATACCACTGACTCATGCACCTTCTGCCCTGTAGTCTCTTGTTTTCCATCTCTCACTGGCTCCTCTACATCCTTATCATGCCACCAGGCTTTCATATCTTCCACTTCGTTCATTTCACCATAACCAAGGTGTGCTAATTCCACTTGTCCAGGTTCCTCTGGACTCAGTCCCATTTTCTTTGTCAGCTTCCTGACCACAATATGATCTTCATGTTCTGTCCTGTCTACACCATCTGTCTTGCTGCCTGCTGGTTTCAATGGTTTGGAGAATAGGATTTTACCAGAAACATTATCAAATTCCTGTTTAAAACAGGAAGTCAAGCTTTCATCCAGGTCCACTTTGGATTCTTCTTTTCTCTGTTTCTTCAAGCTGTCCATGAACTCAAATGCCACAGCTGTATTCTTCTTACTGCTAGTTTCGGGAACATCCTCCAGACTATACTTGGTCCAGCGTTCTGGATGCAAAAGGTAATCTGGGACAGACTGTGCTTTTTTACATGAAGCATTACTTTGTTTTCTTCTGGGAGGCTCCCCAATAACCGGTCTCTTTTCAGAAATAGTGCTCTGATTTCCTGGAGGAGATCCCACTGTCAGTTTTCTGACAGAAGGAGCTGGATTTGGTGGATGCTTAGATTCACTATCAACAAGGTTGGTGTCCCTGGGATGAGCTGCATCAAATTTTACTACATTCTCTAAACCACTAAATATATTCTGACTACGAAAAGAGAAGCTGGAACTAGTTCCCCGCAGCTGAAACAATTGTGATGGTGGTCTGCTTCCAACAACAGATAAAGAATGATTAGACATGTAGTCACACTGTGGTTCAATACCAACAGTAAGTGAGCCATCTGGGGACCAGGAATCTGCATCAGATTCCCTAAGAGGTGACAAAGAATTGAATGACTGCAGATTGGTCTCAGAGTCAGAGTCACTGAGTGATTCTGTATCACTGGATATCATGGTTTCATGATCAGAACCTTTTAGAAGCAAGACATCTGTGGAAACCATGCTGTTTTCTCTGTCAGCCATTTTATTGCAATAAAGGAGCGTTGTCCTCAGAGGGCACTGCAGCGAACAGTTGCTTCCAGATGTCCAAGGAGCTCACAGCCTGGTCAAAAAAAACACAATAGAAGTATACAATAAAAGATTACATAGCTAAAGGAACTTGAAGAACACAAAAACTTTTATAAAGCAGTGCACTTTATCTAGTAAAAATATTGCACTAAGAGCGATATTTAAATATTAAATCAAAATGCATTACCATTAAACCTTAAACAGAGGCAATACAATGTAGTCAGATCTAGCTTATTGTCAAATGTTTGGAACTTACTATTTTGCTACATAATAAAATGTGCACTGGAAACAAATTCATTATCAAAATCAAACTGATAATTGATCGATTTTGTTACTTATCCAGAATAATGTAATCATTTTCTTTTATCTGCGCAGCATCACAGAAATATTAGAAGTCTATTTAAAACTGGTGAACTGTTTAGCACGAATCAACTAATTTTATTGAACCTGAGTGATTCTGTGCAGTTAGCTAAATAAAAATGATGAAGTAGGAGTTTGACATTCAGAGTGAACAAAGGCAGCTAGGTCAGTTCAGCATGATCTTATTAATAATATTTTAAAAATATCCACACTAAACCACTGACTCCCATAGCTACTTTGACCACACAAAGGACTCTATTTCATCCTCCCAGTTTGTTTATTGATGTTAAATCTGTACAATGGTGCAACTTTCCATACCTGCACTTTTGAAACACCTTCCTTTTCCTGAAGCAAACAGTATCTTCCCACTCCACTGTGGCTGACAAGCTCTCCATTCCATGTCCCACTGTTCTGTTTAGACCCTTCCCAGGCCTCTCAGACCACATTAGAATTACATTTGTCCTTACCTCTTACATAAGTAGCTTCTGTGTTCAAAACATCATCCCCTGCTAATTTTCCACCTCCAGTACATTGTCAGCATCAAAACACATCTTGCCTTCCAATCCACTAGCATTCTGAAGTGACATTTCCTCTGCCACACTGCTCCACGTCTGGAATTATCTCCTGTCTTTCCCAGGCAAGAGCAGGAGAAAGAACACTCGCTTTTTTCACCCCCTCTCTCCTTTCCATCCAAAGACACAAACATTGCTTTCAGGTGAAACAGTGAGTTACTTATATTTATCTCAGATTTAGCATACTATATTTGCTGCTAACAATGCACATTGGAGATCAATCACAGATTGGATATACAATTTGCACAAGGCCTTCATTCAATTTGCAAGCTTCCAACTGTCGATCACTTTGTCACTTCTTCGCTGTGGAACATCTTAGGAGGCAGACGTCAATGAAATTCCAATTAACCTTGAGGTATAGCACCACAATCATAACGTCTGGTGCCTTATTTTGTTTTTGTTCATCATAAATTCAGCTGCTTAGCTTTGCGCAGACTTGCTCTGGTTTTTGTTGAAATTCAAGGAATATGAAACACATTTACGCTTAGCTGATACCACTGCACAAATACCATTTTACTTGAGAACAAAAGAAAAATGTATTTAACCAACGTAGGGACAGTGTCAGTACTAGAAATTAAATACTTTTCATTTTGTCACCCACTGTCAAAGACTTTGGGGCCGAATGTAAAATCATCGAAATCAAAGCAAGGTCTGCTTTGTCCCAACACCATGAGTAGCTTCTGTTATGGCATTGTGTTTTTCTTCCCCTTTTTCCTACACCAGCCTAAATGAGACTGCAATATAGTAGTACATTCAACGTTGTGCTGTGAACTAAAGGGAGACCAAATTCATACCACAGATGTCTTTAGTCTCAGTGACATGGGGCAATTTCATTCCATAAATCTAGGCTGCATCTCAGCCCATGCCTAATTCACTGCATCATGCATTCATCCCAGCATTCTGGTTGAGATACTGGCTAGGTTTTCTCCTATGTAGCCTAACAATGCTGGACCGTAGTAGATAGTAAAGTAGCATTTGTAGCAATATTAGTCTTCTGAGATTAAGAAAAAAAGTACCTCAGCCTCCTCAATATACACAGAAACAACCCAAATGTTTTCTCTTTTTTTTCTCTTTATTCATTCATGGGATAAGGGCGTCGCTGGCTAGGCAGCATTCATTGCCCATCTCTAATTGCCCAGACGGCAGTTACAAGTCAACCATATTGCAATGCAATTTTGTCTATCGATGAAGTTTAGATAAAATTTGGATGATATTCCATTGGGAATAAAAATTAGAAACAAAGAAAATAGGGCATTCGGCCCATTGAACCCACTCCTCCAATGAACATGATCATGGCTGATTCTCTATCTTAATGCAATACTGCCACGCTCTCCCCATATCCCTTAACACCTTTAGCTTCTATAAATCTATTTCTTTCTTAAATGTATTCAGTGACTTGGTCTCCACTGAGATCCTCTCTCATTCTTCTGAACTCCAGCAAGTACAGATCCAATCCATCCAATTTGTCCTCATATTAGGAATCTGCCACCCAGGAATCAGTCTGGTGAATCTTCACTTCACTTCCTCTGTGGCAAGTTTTCTAAGCTAAGGAGTTCAAAACTGTACACAATACTCCAGGTGTGGTCTCACCAATGCCTTGTCTTGACTAAGTTGATTGAGCTCTTTGAAGAAGCAACAGAAAGAGTTGACAAGCATGGAGTTCCAAAAGGCCTTCAATAAAGTATCACATAACAGTTTTGTTAGCAAAGTTAAAACCCATTGAACAAAAGAGACAGTAATAGCATGGATACTTGAATGGTATGGATGGATGGGTGAGCAGATACAATTTAAGGCAGATAAATTTGAAGTGACACCTATTATAAAAAAGAAACAGAGAAAACTATAATGAATACAATTCTAAAAATGGATTCAGCAGCAGAGGACCTGAGGTTAAGTGCATTCACTACTGTTCTTTCGGTAAAGAAATCGGCCACCCATTAACTGGCCGGGCCTACGCATGACTCCAGACCCAGTGCAACATGATCAACTCTTAAATGACTTCTGAAACGGCCCAGCAAGCCATTCAGCTATATCTAACTACTAAAAGGTCTCAAAAAAAGTGAAATTAAAATAAATGGACCACCTAGCATTGATCTTGACACCAAAGTGGGAGGAAGGGAAAAAGAGTGCGAGAATGACAGTGAGAAACCAAAAGGGAGAACATACTTGACCTCATCCTCACCAATCTGTTTGCTGCAGATGCATCTGTCTGTGATAGTCGTGGAAGGAATAACCATGACACAGCACTCGTGGAGGCAAAGTCCCATCTTCACATTTAGATATCCTCCACCTACCATGCTAAATGGTTGTGGACAGATCTAATGACTCAATGGGGCAACCGTGAGGAACTGTGTGCCAGTCACAGCAGATTATACTTCAACACAATTTGCAACCTCACAGCCCAATGTATCCTCCACTAAGCCAGGGCATTGACCCTGGTTCAATGAACAGTGCAGGACCACGTCCAGTTATCAATGGTGGTGGACAATTTAACAGCTCATTGGAAGAGGAGGCTTCACAATATCCCCGCTCTCAATGATGGGGGGGGCCTAACATACCAATGTAAAAGATGAGGCCGAAGATTGCCGAGTGGACGGTCCATCTCAGCCTCTTCTGCTAGTCCCCAGCATTACAGATGCCAATCTTCAGCCAATTCAGTTCACTCCATGTGATATCAAAAAAAATCTGAAAGCACTGGATACTGTAAAGGCTATGGACCCTGACAATATTCCAGCAATAGATTTTATCCTCCAGAACTTGGTACATCCCTATCCAAGCTGTTCCATTGCAGCTATAGTAGCTGCATCTATCAGACAATGTGGAAAATTGCCCAAATACACAAGACTCAAAAAGGACAAATCCAAATCTGCCAATTACTGACCCATCTATCTGCTCACATTCATTAGTAAAGTGATACAGGGGTCTCAATAGTGCTATCAAGCAGAACCAGTTTCACAATAATCTGCTCGATGACACTCTGTTTAGATTTTCCCAAGACCAATCAGCTCCTGACTCATTACAGCTTTGGTTCAAACATGTAAAGAGTCAGAGAAGAAGGCAGCAAGGACAAAAACAAAAGCTAGAAAAGGGAATAAGAAAAGTGATAGGCTGAGAAACCAAGGACAAAATTCAAACAGGGTGAGTGAGAAAAATGAGGAGGATGCAAACACTGTTAAAAGGACAAGCTTAAAGGCTTTGTGCCTTAATGCATGGAGCATCTGCAATAAAACGGATGAACTACTCACACAGACAGGTGTAGACAGATACAATATAATTGGGATTACGGAGACATGGCTTCAGGGTGACCAGGGATGGGAACTGAATGTCCCAGGGAATTCAGTATTTAGGAAGGACAGGCAAAAAGGAAAAGATGGTGGAGCGGCATTGCTGGTTAAAGAGAAAATTAACACAATAGCGATAAAGCTCTGATAATGCTCTGATAATGTGGAGTCTGTATGGGGAGAGTTGAAAAATACCAAGGGGCAAAAAACATTCGTAGGTGTCATATATAGACCCCCAAACTGCAGTAGTGATGTCGAGAATGGCATTAAACAGGAAATTAGAGATGCATGTGATAAGGGAATATCAGTGATCATGGGTGATTTAAATCTGGATATTAGGCAAATCAAATTAGCCACAATCCCACAGAGAAGGAATTCCTGGAGTGTATACGGGATGGTTTTCTTGACCAATATCTGGACCAAGAACCGGCCATTGTAGACTGGGTACTGTGTAATGAAAAGGGAATCATTGCCAATCTAGCTGTGCGAGATCCCTTGGGGAAGAGCGACCGTAACATGGTGCAATTTTTTATCAAGATGGAGAGTGAGGCTGTTGATTTGGAGACTAGGGTACTGAACCTTAATAAAGGAAATGACGAGGATATGAGGTGTGAGTTGGCCTTGATAGATTTGGGAGAGTGGGGATGACAGTGGATAGGCAATGGCAAACATTCAAGGAACGCATGGGAGAACTGCAACACCTGTTTATTCCTGTCTGTTGCAAAAGCAAAATGGGTAAGAGGGCCAATACATGGCTTACAAAGGAAATAAGAGATAGAATCCGATCCAAGGAAGAAGTGTACAGATTGGCCAAGAAAAATAATAAATCTGAGGATTGGGAGCAGTTTAGAATTCAGCAAAAAAGGACCAAGGGATTGATTAAGAAGGGGAAAATAGAGTATGAAAGTAAGATTGCAGGGAACATGATGACTGACACTGAGAGCTTTTATAGGTACGTGAAGAGAAAGAGATTGGTAAAGACAAAAGTAGGTCCCCTACAGACAGAAACGGGGAATGTATAATAGGGGACAAAGAAATAGCCGAGGAACTGAATACATACTTTGGTTCTGTCTTCACAAAAGAGGACACAAATCAGATTCCAGAACTGTTGGAGGAGGCAAGATTTAGTGAGAGGGAAGAGCTGAGGGAGATCAATATTGGTAGAGAAATGGTGCTGGGAAAATTGTTGGGATTGAAGGCTGGTAAATCCCTAGGGACGGATAATCTACATCCTGGAGTATTTAAGTAAGTAGCTCTAGAGGTAGTGGATGCATTGGTGGTCATCTTCCAGGATTCTACAGACTCTAGAACAGTCCCTGCAGATTACAGGGTGGCCAATGTCACTCCAGTATTCAAAAAGGGACGTAGAAAGAAAACAGGGAATTATAGACCAGTAAGCCTAACATTGGTAGTGGGGAAAATTATCGAATCCATTGTCAAGGATTTTATAGCAGAGCATTTAGAAAGCAGTGGTAGGATCAGACAGAGTCAGCATGGATTTATGAAGGGGAAATCATGCTTAACAAATCTGTTGGAATTCTATGATGATGTAACTAGTCGAGTTGACAAGGGGTGCCAGTTGATGTACTATATTTGGACTTTCAGAAAGCATTTGACACAGTCCCACATTAGAGATTAATATGCAAGATTAAAGCGCATGGGATTGGGGGGAAGTGTATTGAGATGGACAGGAAACTGGTTGACAGAGAGGAAACAAAGAGTAGGAATTAATGGGTCCTTTTTAAATTGGCAGACAGTGAGTAGTGGGGTGCCACATGGATCAGTGCTAGGACCCCAGCTATTCACAATACATATTAATGATTTGGATGAGGGAACAAAACGTAACATCTCAAAGTTTGCAGATGATACCAAGTTGGGTGAGAAGATGAACTATGACAAGGATGCAGAGATCCTTCAACAGGATCTTGACAGGTTGGGTGAGTGGGCAAATCAATGGTAGTTGCAGTATAATTTGGATAAATGTGAGGTTATTCGCTTCAGAAGCAAAAGCAAGAAGGCAGATTACTACCTGAATGGCTGTAAATTGGAAAAGGGGAGTATGCAGCGGGACCTGGGTGTCCTTATGCACCAGTCGCTGAAGGTAAACATGCAGGTGCAGCAGGCGGTAAAGAAGGCAAATGGTATGTTGGCCTTCATTGTGAGAGGTTTCGAGTACAGGAACGGATGTGTTGTACAGGGCCTTGGTGAGACCACACCTGGAATATTGTGTGCCGTTTTGATTTTTTCTAAGGAAGGATGCTGTTGCTCTCGAGGGAGTGCAGCGAGGGTTGACCAGGCTGATTCTGGGGATTGCAGGTCTGGCATCAGAGGAGAGATTGACTAGGGTGGGATTGTTTTTGCTGGAGTTCAGATGAATGGGGGGGGGAATCTCATACAGGCTTATAAAATTCTAACAAGACTAGACAGGGTAGATGCAGGGAGAAGTTCCTGATGGTGGATGTGTCCGGAGCCTGGGATCACAGTATGAGGATTTGGGGTAGATGATTTAGGATGGCGATGAGGCGACATTTCTTCACCTAAAGAGTGGTGAGCCTGTGGAATTCATTACCACAGGAAGTAGTTGATGCCAAAACATTGAATGTATTCAAGAGGTGACTAGATATAGCACTTGGGGCAAATGGGATCAAAGGTTATGGGGAGAAAGTAGGATTAGGCGATTGAGTTGGACAATCAGCCATGTTCGTGAAGAATGGCGGAGCAGGCTCAAAGGGCCGAATGACCTCCTCCTGCTTCTATCTTCTATTTTTCTATGGACAAAAGAGCTGACTACAGAGTAGAGATCAAAGTTACTCCCCGTGATGTCAGGTCCGCAGTTGACCAAGTATGGCATCATAGAGCCCTATCAAAATAAAGAATCAGGAGTGTTCTCCACTGGTTAGAGTCATATTAGCAAATAGGAAGATATTTGTGGTTTTTGGAGGCCAGTGATCTCAGCTCCACAGTATCTTTGCAGGAGTTATTCAGGACAGTGTCTTAGGCCCATCAATCTCAATTTAATAACCTTCCCTCCATAATAAAGTCAAAAGTGGAGACATTCGCACATGGTGGCACTATGTCCAGCAGATTTGCAACTCTTCAGGTACTGAAGCTATGTCCAAATGCAGAAAGACCTGAACAATATCGAGGCTTGAGATGCCAAGTGGCAAGTAACATTCATGGCACACATGTACCCCTAGCAATGCCATCCCCAAGAGAAAATCAAATATCACCCCTTGACATTCAGTGGTATTACCATCACTGAACCCCCTCCATCAACTTCCTAGGGGTTTACAATGAATCAGAAACTGAACTGGACTAGCCTTATAAATTATAGATCATAGAATACCTAGAGTGTGGAAACAGACCCTTTGGCCCAACAAGTCCACACTGACCCTCAGAGTATCCCACCCAGACCCATCCCCCTAATCTACACATCTCTGAACACTATGGGCAATTTAGCATGGCCAATCCCCCTAGCCTGCACATCTTTGGACTGTGGGAGGAAACCGGAGCACCCGGAGGAAACCCATGCAGACACAGGGAGAATGTGCAAACTCCACGACCCAGCGACCCAGGTTCAATTCCACCCTCGGGCGACTGTCTGTGTTGCTGTGACTGCAAAAGCAGGTCAGATGCTAGGAATCCTGCAATGAAGAACTCACCTCCTGACTCTCCAAAGCCTGTCCATCATCCACACAGTACAAGTCAGGCATATGATGGAATACTCTCAATTGCCTGCAACAGTATTTAAGACACTTGGACACTAGCTAGGGCAAAGCAGTTTGCTGGAGTGGCACATCATGAAACATTCACTCCCTTCACTACTGACACATAGTAAGGCATTTCAAATAGCATTTCCAAACCTATTTCCATCCAGAAGGGCAAGGACAGCAAAAAGATTGGTACATGATGGTACTTAAAGTGGTATGAGAAAATATCATATGTCACATTTACTAAAAACAGTATTCCATTCATTGATGAGTGTAAATGAATTATACTCCCAGAATACATCCTCCAGATCATTAGAATGAAGGTATTTTTGACAATTTGATAAATCAAAGATTATGCTGTATTGGAGGGGGTCTGGCAACAAATTTGGAAAGAAAATTTGTGTTGGATCAGATGGTGTTGATAGATGAATCTACATAAAGATAGCTTATACTGCCAGCACTTTCACAGAATTACATTATTTTGTACCCATTGTTAAGTTAGTAAAAAGCTATAATTCCTAAAGAACACAGCCAGTTAATTTTAGGACAAATAAGACGATACCATATTATTCCTTCTCGTATCTATCAATAGATAGAAAGGAAACCTACTGATCAATGCTTACCTTGTTTTGAGACTGGATCAGTTTTCCTCCTTCCCGGTCTGTCAAAGCTACCAGAGTTCTGAGCTCACACACCCTGTAGAAAAAAAATCAAAAGCATCAAACTTAGCACTTTTATTGTTTTTATCAGCTGCATAATATGTTGCAAATTTTGGAATCAAGAGGAATTTGTATTTTGAACTTTATATTTACATTGCTCTTCACTGTATCAACCATTAACACCCTGCTGAACCATCATTTCTGGCAGATAAAGGTTCTAAAGACTCAATTCCAAGTAGAGCTACTCCAGAAACTAGGCATTTGCATCCTCCTCAATGAACACGATCATTGTTTGTTTTCCTGTACATGATGCTCAATTCATTGAAAAATAGTTTGTTGTCAAGTGATTTGGAATGGAAATAAAGTAGGGTAATTTCTTAAATAAAAACAGAAAATACTGGAAATAAAATTCTCAGCAGTTCTAACATCATCTGTGGAGACAGAAGTAGAGTTACTATTTCAGATTGATGATCTTATCAGAACTGAAAGTGGTGCATTTTTTTTCTTGTTTTACAGGCTTTTTCCAATTTTCACTGGAAGGGCTCAATCTTTTTATGGCAATAGTGACCAATACACATGCCCTTTAGCATGGTCAACTCTGAGAAAGATCTTTCAGATTGCTTTCTCATGTATAAACCATTAGTTTGTGCCAAGTGCTCACAATAAATGATTAGTGTCTACTAGAATACCAATGTTTATTGGCTCAAATTTTAACATTGTTCAAATTTATAGACGCCCTTTCCACTTGGGCAGCTTCTTTATTTGAAAGAACAAAGTACCGCAGATGCTGAAACTCTAAAATAAATAAAACAAGTCTGGCAGAGTTCAGCAAGTAGTGTCCATTATGCATAGATAAAGAGAGAAAATGGAAGTTACAGGTCAATCATCTTTCATCATTCTGTTTGGTCAATTCTTTACCACTCAATGATTGTGTCAACACCATGGTTTAGACTGTGCTGTATGCACAGTGACACCTTGCTCCTTACTGAAATCCATGACTTAATCTTCCTAAATTGTCACAGTGGTGGTATAGTATGTATTTCCAAATTATGCTTTTGCCTCTGACCCTTCTCCTTTGGTACTTTCTCTTCCTTCCAGCATATTGATTTATTTAAACTCTCTTAAATCCTTTTTGCCTCTGATCCTTTCTTTCCTTCTTCAGCTGCTATAGTGAGCAATTCTTAAGTTCTTGGTGATTTCAACATTCAAAGCTTCCCTTGTCACTTCTCTGAACTGAATGATCTCCCTAAACCACTCCCTCAATATAAACAGTCTTACTCACATTCATGCTACTTTCTCAACCCTGCCATCTCTAGTGACCTTTCAATGCTTATAGTAAAACCATCTCCAATTACTTCCTTGCATTCCTGTCACCCATAGCCCATAACCTCTTTCCAATATCACTTATTTTGTATCCATCCCTTGAAAGTACTCTCCTCCAGTTCACCTACAAATGTTGCTGCATGGGCCAGTGTTGGTAAAGAATTATAGTCTGTAAGCTAAACCCTATGACTTAACTCCCCCATATTTAACAAGTTAGCTAATCTCCATCTTGGACATAGGAGAGATGCAATGTGGTGACCTTGTGCTGCAGTGGTGTTGTCCCTGCCTGTGAACCAGGGACCTGGGTTCAAGTCCCACTTTCTCCAGAAGTGTGTAATAACATATTTGAACAGCTTGATTAGAAAATATCTAGGAAGTTGTTAGGTTGGAAGAAAATAGCCAGCTAGAGTGTTTACCCTTGGTTATTATCCATTTATCACTGCTGGAGATTCACAAGTAGATATTAATTGAGTGCAGTATCAGATTCACTTGCTTAGCCATGAATTAATTATCCAAAAGCATGAATAATCAAACGATTAAAGGGGGAGAAAATAAACACATCTATTATCATTAGAGAAAAAGGTGCGAGAGGGAAACTAATGAGGGGTAAAGGCTGTTAAGTCTCCCGGACCTGTTGGGTTGCACCCTTGGATTTTAAAGGAGATAGTTGCACTAAGTTGTTTTGATTCTACAAAGGTATTTCCAATCCTCTTGGACCAATGTAGCACCCTTCTTCAAAAAAGAAGGGAGACAAAACACAGCTAACTATAGGCTAGTTAGATTAACATCTATAATTGGGAAAATGTTATAGTCTGTTGTAAAGGATGTAAGAGCAGAGCATTTAGGAATATATATGATCAAACAGAGTCGGCATGGTGTACAGCCATAGAATTGTGCAACACGGACGCAAACCATTTGGTCCAACTTGACCATGCCGATCAGATATCCCAAATTAGTCCAGCCCATTTGCCAGCGTTTGGCCCATGTCCCTCTAAAACTTTCCTATTCATGTATCCATCCAGATGCCTTTTAACTGTTATAGCTGTATCAGTCTTCACCACTTCCTCTGGCAGCTTATTCCATACACACAGCACCCTCGGTGTGAAAAAGGTGCCCCTTAGGTCACATTTAAATCTTTCCCCGCTCACCGTAAACCTATGCCCTCTAGTTTTGGACTCCCCTACCCTGGGAAAAAGACCTGCGCTATTCACCCTATCCGTGCCTCTTATGATTTTATAAACCTCCATAAGGTCACCCCTCAGCCTCCAAAGCTCCAGGGAAAACAGCCTCAGTCTGTTCAGCCTCTCCCTATAGCTCACACTGTCCAACCCTGGCAATATCCTTGTAATTCTTTTTTGCACCCTTTCAAGTTTAGCCACATCTTTCCTGTAGCAGGGAGACCAGAATTGAATGCAGTATTCCAAAAGTGACCTAACCAGTATTCTCTACAGCTGTAACATGACATCCCAACTCCTATACTCAGTGCACTGACCAGTAAAGGCAAGTGTACCCAATGCCTTCTTCATCAGCCTGTCTGGCTGCAACTCCACCTTCAAGGAACTATGAATCTGCACCCCAAGGTCTTTTTGCTCAGCAACACTCCCCAGGGCCCTACCATTAAGTGTATAAGACGTGCCCTGACTTTCCTAGAGATAACCGATCTACCCAACTGTATTTGCAATTTTTTGACAATCCTGAAACTGCCATCCATCACATCCCCGGTTCCTGTAAATTCCTCATTGCCTCTAACTGCCGCTTCAACCAATCCATGCGATCTGATAGGATTCACAAATCATGAAGAACTTTGAAATTCTCCCTAGTCTCCCATATCTGACAGGAAGAGCACATCGCTCTACTAAAGGCCATCTCTGCACCTTAATCTACTGACCTTACTGCTCCAAAAACACTTCACAAAGGGGAAATCATGCCTGACAGATTTATTAGAATTTTTTGATGTCATAATAGAGGATAGATAAAGGTGAACCAGGAGATGTAATATATTTGGATTTCCAAAAGGCATTTGATAAGATATCGCACGTTAGATTACTTAATAAGATAAGAGCTCACGGTGTTGCAGGTAGAATATTAAGCATTTTAGAGGGTTGGCTAATAGATATCAGAGTTAGAATAAAAGGGGCATTTTAATGATGGCAACCTGCAACTAATGGAGTGCCACAGGGATTGTGGATAAAGCCACAGTTATTTATAATATATATTGACTTGGATGCGAAATTGAAGGTACTATCATCAAGTTTCCGGATGACTCAAAAGTAGGTGGGAAAGCAATTAGTGAGGATGAGACAAGGAGTCTACAGAGGGAAGCAGACAAACTAAGTGAGTCGGTGAAAACTTGGAAGATGAAACATAATGTTGGTGAGGTTATGCACTTTAGCAGGAAGAACAGAAGAACTGAATATTATTTAAATAAGGAAATGAAAGACTGCAGAAAGCTGCAGCACTGTCGGGTCCTTGTGCATGAATCACGAGTGTTCAAGTTCAGTGGATAATAGGCAGGTAAATGAACTATATATTTTATTCCGTTTGAAATAAAGGCCAAATGTTATACATAACATATAAAACTATACAAGAGACAGACCACACCACTGAAATATAGTGAACAGTTCTGGTCCCTTTATCAAAGGAAAGATATACTGGTATTGGAGACAGTCCAGAGAAGGTTTGCTACATTGATCCCAGGTAGGATGGGATTTTCTTATGATGAGGTTGCGTAGGTTGGGCTCGTACTCATTTGAATTTAGAAGAATGAGAGGACACCTTTTTGAAACATAAGATTCTTAGGGAACGTCACATGGTGCATGAGAGGCTGTTTCTCCTTGTGGGAAGAGTGTGGGACTAGGGGGCATAATCTCAGAGTAATGGGATTCCCATTTTAGACAGATGATGAGAAACTATTTCTCTCAAAGGATAGTGAATCGATGGAATTCTTTACTGCAGAGGACTGTCGAGGCTATGTTGTTAACTATATTCATGGCTGAGATAGACATATTTCTCTTCAGTTAGGAAATCAAGAATTGTGAGGATAAGGCGGGAAAATAGAGTTGAGTGGGGTTGATTATCAGATCAGTGATTTATGTCATCGATTGGGGAAGCAGACCAGATGTTCTAAATAGCCTGTTGCTGATCCTACATCTTCTGGGGTTGAACCTTGTGTTTTTTATGTCCAAGTTCAAGTTGGATCAAGTTTGGCTGGGTTATTCTTGCAGCAAAACCAAGTGAGTTTTCTCATTAAATCGTACTAAACTTAACACGTTAATTGGCATTTCAACCATCACTGCAAAAATCCTGTCAGAATCCATCCCATCTCACCACACGCTGTTCCATGGAGATCCTCCCTAAGACGAGCATCCCTTGTGGTTGCTCCATTTTCCAAAGCTACCCTGTCAGTCATAGAAGTCAGGAAAAATGTCAGAGAAGGGGAGGCTGGCCACCCGTCTGAGAGAGACCTGGGGGTCTTTGTAGATTGAGTGGTCAAGAGAAGAGGAGTCCTCTTCCCGGGAGACCAGCAGAGGAGGCCACACCACCACACCATGCCAGACTGGTCAGAGATCATCACTGGGTCAGTGCTTTCTCCAAAATAAGGAGGACTGGCTACAGTGCTGCCGGAAGGTGAACAACCTCCTCTGCTCTGACAGGGTAAGTGTGGTGCTTTGTTCTTCACTACCTCACACTTAGCAGACACCCTTGACTGAGGACTGCTGCGCAGCATGGCCACCTGACTGGTTGTGAGACTGTGTCAGCTGTCAATTCAAGGCACTGTACAGTAAGACAAGGAATGCTAGTAGGGACCAGGTGATTGCATGTGAAGGAAGCAAGGGAGCAGCCATGGATGATAGCTTAGTCTACACCACGGAATGGGTTCCTGTCCCTCCGAGGTACCTGCATCTGATACAGGTGTACAGTGCTGCCAGTGTGTCCTGGTAGATAAACCTGCATTTGAGAATGTCAGGATGGTGGCAATGGCTCCCTGAAAGTCAAGATCTACTGTCCATGATGGAAGGGTACATAAGGGTGGTATTGGTGAATTGTGTCCTAAGGTACAGTTTTTCTATGGGCAAAATATAGGTCTTTTGGAGCAAGTAATGAACTGAAGCCATCAAAACCTGCACTGGTCGACTTTTCATAACAGCTAGTTTGTATGGTAAGATTGCAACTCATTGCTGTTAATAAGTGATTTAAATAATTTCACCATGTTGTTTGACAGGAGTGTACAAGATGCACTGAGATGACCTTAATGTTGAGACAGACCTCAAAATCTCACCTGATTCTAAGAAAGATCTCATCACAGCCTAATAAAATTCAACCAAATTTGGCTTAATCTTCCATTAAAACAGTAGCGGAACATTTAGAAGGTCACAGGCAGGTCACATTATTAGAGTTCTGCATACAGTTTTGCGTTTGTGCACCAGGGTTGATTCCCAAGAATGAAAGCGTTCTCTCACAGAATGGTGGAGTACTTAGGCCTTTAGTTATTGGCAATTTTATTGAAACACGTG